GAATCCACCGGCGTCCTGTTAATGTGGATTGACGCCGGTGGATTCATACCTCGCGCCCTATATCTGACAGCTGGGGGGAGGAGCTGCGGCCTGCCGCGACGTGATTGGCCGTCGGCGGGACACCGCCCACCGGCGCCCGCAACTTCCCCACAAGGTCACCACTGCCGCCCCTCGGCGCTCTACCGCCCTGAGGCCGGGCCTCGGTGGCCTTGTGGGAAATCCGGGCCTGCTCATGGTCCACCATTCTATCTTCACAATCCACCAATTCATCTTCATGACTCATTACCTCATATTTGTATTTTTACATTTCATTCTTACTGCCCACCTACTCATGTTCATTCTCTACCATCCCACCTACTCATGTTCATTCTCTACCATCCCACCTACTCATGGTCATTCTCTACCATCCCACCTACTCATGGTCATTCTCTACCATCCCACCTACTCATGTTCATTCTCTACCATCCCACCTACTCATGTTCATTCTCTACCATCCCACCTACTCATGTTCATTCTCTACCATCCCACCTACTCATGGTCCACCATCTCACATTGACTGCACTTCCTCTTACCTTCTCTGCGTATCATTTGTACAAACTGACCTTTCCTCCCGACCATCTCACCTGCACGATCCATCACCTCACATTCACTATATTACCTTCAATCCTTCTATCTATCTATCTATCTATCTATCTATCTGCTCTATCAATCTGCTCTATCTATCTATCTATCTATCTGCTCTATCAATCTATCTATCTATCTATCTATCTATCTATCTATCTATCTATCTATCTATCTATCTATCTATCTATCTATCTATCTATCTATCACTCTGTCTGTCTGTCTATCATCCCTATCCTCTCATCTTCATTGTCCTCTCACCACCTCCCCTTCCTAGTCATCCTCTCTCCTTCACTATATCTCGTCTCACCTTGTTCTGCTCCTGCAGTCCCGTCAGCATCACAATGACAGAACTGTTCTCTTGCCACACCATGCTCCAGAAGTCTGCCAGAGTGTCTGGAAGGGGGCCTGGAAGAAGAGGAAATCAATGAAGGTGAAACAGTCTATAGGAATCCTGCAGAAAAGTGTCTTTAGACTGCCGAGGTCTCATGCACAGGACACAGGAATCTGCAGATCTTTCCTAACCCTGGGGATACATGAGCTACAAATTCCAGGTATATAAGTACATACAGCCTCGGATATTAATTATAACCCGCAAGAAATTACAGCACGTTGCTGGAGTCTGCCCTCATGGCAACTTAGTGGGGGGCATGCAGGCCCGGCGCTACCGCGAGGCAAGCGGCCGCCTGAG